GAGCCTACAGCGGAAGCATATGGAACTCGACTCATCTCAGCTATCTCAGCCTCTATACTAGGGCTCCGAGTCTTAATTAGTTTGGCGTTACTCTACATCGGTAAGTCACCTTTCTTGGAATCCTGAATGCTGAATCTTTTCAGCACCTTATTCAAGTACGTACTTTGAGTAAGTGCAATTAGTCTGTTACTCCTGTCTCTTAATATCCTTATCACTAGGATATAGGCAGCTTCTCCAAGGTCCTTTATACCGAAACACTTCCCAAACCAGGACTTAATCTCCAGCAAGGTTGGGATGTCATTTCCTATGAGTATTATGTCGTCCACGTACAATACCAAAAATCTAACTATATTCGCACTAGCCTTTACATATACACAGGACTCATCCTCGAAGAAAAGATTCTATCTGCGAGATGTTTGTTTCAATCCATAGATGGATTTCTCAAGCTTACACACTCTATTAGGGTACTTTGCATCGACAAAATCCTCTAGCTGACTCATGTAAACATTCTCAGCCAACTTTCCATCAATAAAAGCGGTTTTGACATCCATTTTCCATATTTCATAATCATGAAATGCAACAATGGCTAGCATAACCCTAATTGATTTAATCTTCGCTACTGGTGAAAAGGTTTCATCTTAATCAACTCTCGGAGTTTGAGTAAAACCTTTTGCAACCAGTCGCACTTTATAAGTGTGTACATTCCAATCCATGTTAGTCTTCTTCTTGAAGATCCATTTGCACCCGACTGTCTTACGACCCAATACATTGTCAACCAAGTTCCAAACTTGATTGTCATACATGGAATGAATCTTGTTATCCATAGCCTCTTTCCATTTGGCGGACTCAGGGCCTGCCATAGCTTCCTTAAAGTTGTTAGGCTCATCTTAATTTACCAGTGTATTATCACTGATAAATTCATCACCTTCCTCAATATTATTGAAACCATAGTAATGCTCAGGTGGGTTCCTAACTCTTGTCAAACACCTCAGAGGTACGGACTCATCAGTCAGCTCAACATGAGTTTCCTCCTCGGGTTGATTGCTAGTGTTTGAGGTTCCTTCACTGCTTGACTCTTGAAGTTCTTCAAGGTCAATATGCCTCCCACTATTTCCTTGGCTTATTAATTCTCTCTCACGGAAGATTCCTATCCTTACTACACAGACCACATTTTCACTAGGTCTGTAGAATAGATAACCAAAGCATTTCTGTGGGTAGCCGATGATAATACATCGCTCACTACGAGGTTCGAGCTTTTCATGAGTCTCACGCCTCACGAAAACCTCGCAACCCCAAATCTTGATGTGGTCTAAATTGGGAACTTTCCAAGTCCACATCTGGTGAGGTGTTTTGGCAACCATCTTGGTAGGGACTAGATTAAGGATATGGGAGGCAGTCTCTAAGGCATACCCCCGAAATGAGATTGGTAACAAAGCTCGACTCATCATGGAACGAACCATGTCTAACAAGGCCCGATTACACCTCTCAGCCACACCATTCAAATGTGGTGTCCTAGGAGGTGTCAACTGTGAAACAATTCCACATTCCTTAAGATTGTCAAGGAACTCGATACTAAGATACTCACCACCTCGATTGGATTGAAGCATCTTTATCTTCTTACCCAACTGATTCTCCACTTCCTGTTTAAACCCTGTTGAATTTCTCAAAGGGTTTTAACTTATTCTTGATTAAGTAGACATAGCCATATCTACTGTAATCATTAGTAAAAGTCACATAGAAGCGGTTAGCATCCCTTGTGGTAGTTCTGAAGAGCCCACAGACATCTGTGTGTATGAGATCCA